AAAAAGTTGAGTCATGTATTAAGCCATTTTCACTATATAAAGCAACCTACTTCCCCCTGTATTTACCAAGACCTCTTCAGAATTGGCACTGGAAAAGACAAGCATTAAAATCTGGAGCTTGCTGGGACGTTACCAGAAGCAAGGTGGCTCCCAGGGCCATGCAAAAAAGGATGGGTCCGGCCAGGTCCGTTTCGTTCATAATGCTGCCATCTGCTGGCTTCATTGGGTTTAACACCGTCAAGGTTTTTTGCCATATGTGATCAAAATTGATTCCGAGTTCTGCAGAAAGAAAAACAGAGTAATATAAATATATTAAAAAGTTAGATTATTTAACTAAAGATTAAAATATTAGTATACTTAGAATTTTAATCTTGTGCTTTCTAAACTTTTAGATTCTATTTTACATAGAATGTAAAATTCTGTAATATATATAGTAACCTTTAAAAAAACTTTAAAACATGTTTTGTTGCCAAACAATGAATAAACAAAAAGTTTTAGAGAAATAGTCCATAAAGGAAATTTAATCGTGGAAATATTCCATATGGAAGTATACCACAATACTCCATTTCCCAATTTTAACTATATTTTAAGCGTAACAAACGTACGCTTAAAATAGTATAGTTAATAGACTACAAGCCCTCATTTAAAGTATTTCATCTTTCCATACTATCAATTGCTAATACTCCAGAAATCTTGTCATATCAACCATGGAATAATTTTCTATTAACAGAACTTTCTCAACTAATGATACTTAGTCCAAGTTTTGGATTTTGCTTCCACTTCGCTTAATGAGAAAAGAAATTTTATGCTAATTGCCTGAAACTTCACTAAAGAGAAAAGGGGAAGGATTTTTTTATTTTTTGGCAAAGAAAAGTAATCATAATGTACACGTATGCTTTTTAAGGTCAATGCACTATGAGATTGCCTGTGTATTCAAATACTAGATTATTTCGACAAATTGACCTTTCCCTTTCCACAGTTAGTGGAATTCATTGTTCACGAGTCCAAACTCATGTTGAAATTTCTAATTTTTTCTCCAGTGCCTATTTTTCTAAGAATTCTGACTGCCACCTCACAGATCCCTCTGCTAGATTTTGTTCCTCGTATATCATTTTTATGATGAAACACACCCAGCCATTCGCCATCCATTGCACATAGAAATAAATTCCTTTCCTGACCACTCCTGTGACGATAAACTAAGACATTTCTTGGGGAGAAAGAACACTCAGAGAGAAGAGTAAGTCGTAAGTATCTGGGAACCGGCAATCAAACTGATTATCCCTCGTTCTACCATGTGGGAATTTCAGTGAAAACAAGATGGAAGCTGGGTTGAGCTCAAGTGCAGCCAGTGTAAGTGCAAATACTTCAACTACACAGAGCTGCCATGTCCTGCTGACTGTGGGCCCTACAACGTCGACATGCATTGGTCTCCAAGACAGGCAAAGAAGGCAGTACCGTGACTTTATTCCTCTCCCATGTGTCAGGTGGTCGAGGTTTTAACAGATTAAGTAACTTGTCCAAAGATCACAGACACAGAGCTAGTAATAGAAATCTGTGTTTCAACATTAGGCAATGACTCCAGAATTCATGGTTTTAATCATAGACTTCTGGTGGGGTCCATGTGAATCTAATCTCATTAACATCACATTTTTTTTTTAATTGAGCCCAGTTCTCTCAAGTGAAGGACTAACTCTTTAAATTGATTTATATGTGGCATTCAACTACCCTTCCAAGGGTTTAGCAAGCATCTTTGGTGAGATTCAGGACATAGGACACTCAACTACCCTTCCAAGGGTTTAGCAAGCGTCTTTGGTGAGATTCAGGACATAGGACACTCAACTACCCTTCCAAGGGTTTAGCAAGCGTCTTTGGTGAGATTCAGGACATAGGACACTCAGCTTTCCTTCCAAGGTTAATCAAGCATCTTTGGTGAGATTCAGGACATAGCTTAACTTCTTGTGCAGCAGTATGTACCACTGAAAGACTCCACACAGCTGACCTTCTGTGTACAGAGGACAAGATGGACTTCAAGGATTTCCATGACATAGTGGGGCCTTGCTCTAAAAATCCAGTAATCTTCGGAGGTCAGCTAGACACTGGTCTGAACTAAGAAACGGTCTTTTACTCATTTCATATACAAGATGATATTTGCTAGTCCAAGCTTGAGAATAAAATATATATATATATATATATGAACAGTTAAATATGCAAATAATTTACATTTGAACTTCCATGTTTCATGATTATTTTCACAATGTGTTTGTATATTTTGTTAATTTCAGGTTATTAGGAGGGCCCATATGATTAGCTTATGTAAATTGCTTTTGTGAGATTAAAGTCTGCAGTGGGCCCCTGGGTCCCCCACCCAGGGAATGTGCCGTATATCCATCAATATGCCTGTTAGGTGAGAACTCACCCTTCCCCCCTCTCCCTTCTTTGAATTTAATGTAGTTTTTCTCTCATATGAGCAATATATGTCCATCTTCTAGTTTAAAATTAGAACTGAGTACATGTGATGCTTCTTTTCCCATTCTTATGCTACTTTGCTTAGGTTATGAATAAGAAGATAATTTTATGTCCTTCTTAATAAACATACAGTTTGAAGAATATGAGCAGTTCACCAAGCTTAAAATGAGGTTAGGATGTTTAACATAATTTTTAAAACAGCAAAGAACTTAAAATTTGAAAAGTTTATTTTAAATTACAGTAGAACCTATGTAGGTTGACCGCCCAAAAGAGTGTAAAAAGCTGGTCAACGTACAGAGGCGGTCAACATCAGGAACGAGGCCTACTGTTAGGATACATGTGTGTGGTGCAAGCCGGGTCTATGAAAGTTAGGTCAACTTACAGTGTGGCAGTGTTGGGAGCTGGTCAACTACGGAGGTTCTACTGTGATTTCACCTGAGGCTTATATCATTCTCAAACTTTATTTTCATTTTTGGCAGTAATGCTAACGATACATTTCAGTATTTACCACAATAAAACGGTCTTTAATTCCAACTCCTTTTTTCCTCAAAAAGTGTAATTATTTCTATAAGAAAACTCAGACGAAAAAAGTATCACAAGAATGGAAGAAAAAGTATCCAATGTATACAACCCTATTATGAAACTAATTTACAGCTTTCATAGGAAAGCTATAACCTAAGAATATGGGATGGGGGAGGGGGAGGAGAGCGGGGGGATGGGTGGAGGGAGGGTGATTGGTGGGATCACCTCTATGGTTTATCTTACAAGGGTACAAGTGAATCTTTCTAAAAGTAGAATGTATACGAAAACACCACACTGTACCCCATGATTGCATTAATGTACACAGCCATCATTGAATAAAAAAGAAGGAAAATGCTTTATGCGACATCGTTACTGACTCTAACCATTTCTTTGAATGCATAATTAGCTTCCAACACGTCGCAACACTGAATCACGAAACAGTGAATAAACATAAGACCCACTATTTTCATAAGAAAGGAGAGTTTATGTGCTTTGATCTAAAATATGTCTCCATCATATTTTGGCTTTGAATTTATTACAAGCAAGGTATGTGAATGAGATTATAAGTATTAATTCTAGATCCTAATATAACAACATATTATACAAAATAAAGGAAGATGAAACGGCCGTGAAATTTGAATGCAGCATTTGTTGTTTTGCTGCCACCTAGTGGTTGTAAAGCATATGACATATACGCTATAAAAATGAAGGAAGGTCTTTATTTTCTATGTAAATTATGGCACTGGCTTTTCATATACGAGCATCAGGCTGAGCTACAAATAAAAATGACAAATACATAAGGAGTGTTTTCTGGTATCACAGACTTGAATTGACAATTTTGAAGATGCATTTGTTAACATATTGACTGTACATTATCAAATCCAAAAGTTACTATTCTTACCTAAAAGCAGGTAAGTATTTTAGCCTACACTGCACTTAAGGAATAAATTAGCATATTTTCAAAATAACTTGCTTTTGTGTGAGGAATGTTCATCATTATTATTACAGTTTAATAAATTTTTTAGTCACTTGGATGTGTGCTTGATAAAAACCAACCAATACTATTTACTATCCTATCTCAGAAATCCCGACTACAGCTGATTCATATCTTTAGACAGATGTGGCTTGACGTTTCCACAAAGTCACCCAGCCTGAAAAACAAAAGTCTAGATATTTCATGGATTCACAATACAAAATCACATTAGGCGCTTTCTCTTACACTTCGAACTTTCAGGTGTATTTTAATTGTGGCAGCAAAATAGAATGAATGTGTTAAACACAATTCACTCAAAATGTAACTGGCTTCTAAAAGGCCAATAGGTCTATCGTATAATTTCTGTGCTGTGTTCAAATCAGGCAAACAATCATCTCTGGATATAAAATATTAGGAATTTGAATCCTTCCCCCTTTTGTCTTGACTGTACATAAAAGACATGGGGCAGTTAACAGTGAATATATTTTTCAATTTTAAATCCACTTGAGTTTTAGTTTTTTAGCACCTATACTTCTAGCATCAAGTTGACTTTCATTTTGTTTTGTTTTATTTTATTTTAATTGTTTGGGATTCCTTGAGGGTACAAAGAATTAGGTTACACTGATTGTGGCTGTTGTTACATAAACTCCCTCTTGTAATGATGTCCCGCCCCCAAAAGGTGTGCCATACACCGTGACCCCCTTATCCCCCCTCCCCATTCTCCATCCTCCCACTGGTAATAGATCTTCTATTGCCTGCATATCAGAATTGAGTACACTGGATTCTTGCTCCTTCATACTTGTGATGCTTTACTAAGAAAAATGTTTCCACCTCCATCCAGATTAATACAAAAGTTGTAAAGTCTCCATCTTTTTTGATGGCTGAACAGTATTCCATGGTACCACAGTTTGTTAATCCATTCCTGAGTTGGTGGGCATTTAGGTTGTTGCCACGTTTTGGTGATTGTAAATTGAGCTGCGATAAACAGTCTAGTGCAAATGTCCTTATGATAAAAGGATTTTTTCTTCTTCTGGGTAGATGCCCAGTAATGGGATTGTAGGATCAAATGGGAAGTTTAATTTGAGTTCTTTGGGGATTCTCCATACTTCCTTCCAAAAGGGTTGTATTAGTTTGCAGACCCACAGCATCAGCAGCTTTGAGCTTTGTGATGTGGGCTGTTCACGGTGGTTTTGATTTGCATTTCTCTGATAATCAGGGATGATGAGCGTTTTTTCATATGTTTATTAGCCATTTGTCTGTGTTTGTCAGAGAAGGTTCTGTTCATATCTCTTGCCCAGAGGTAGGTGGAATTGTTACTCTTTTTCTGTTGATTAATTTGAATTCTCTGTAGATCCTACTTTTCAAGCTCTTGCCTGATTCATAATATACAAATACCTTTTCCCATTCTGAATATTGTCTTTTCGCTTTACTTGTTGTGCCCTTAGCTGTGCAGAAGTCTTTCAGTTTAATTAAGTCTCATTTGTTAATTTTTGTTGTTGTGATAGCTGCTGAGGTCTTTCTCATAAAATCTTTCTGCCGGCGAACGTCATCAAGAGTTTTTAGCACACTTTCTTCTAAGATTTTTATCATATTGTATCTTAGATTTAAGCCTTTTATCCATCTTGAGTCAATTTTTGTAAGAGATGAAAGGTGTGGGTTGAGTTTCAGTCTTTTACATGTGGTTATCCAATTTTCTCCAAGCACCATGTCTTGAATAGGGATCCTTTTCCCCACCGTACACTTTTGTTTTGTTTATCAAAGATCAGATGGAAGTAGAGACTGGTTTCATCTCTTGGTTTTCTATTCTGTTCCATATGTCTGTATCTCCATTTTGTTCCATGATGTTTTGATTTTGTGGACGTGTGATGTAGTCTGAAGTCTGGTAGGGTGATGCCCTCAGCTTTGTTTTTATTACTAAGAATAGCCTTACCTAGATGGATATTTTTTTTTCTGATTCCATACAAAACAAAGTACTATTTTTTCCAGTTCTTCAAAAAGTTATATTGGTATTTCAATGAGGATTGCATTGAATCAGTAGACTGCTTTCGGTGGAGTAGACATTTTGACAATGTTGATTCTTCCCTGCCAAGAGTATGGTATGTTTTTCCATTTGTTAGTGTCTTCTCCAATTTTAGTTCTGAGGGTTTCATAATTCTCTTTGAAAAGACCTTTCACCTCTTTTGTTAGGTGTATTTCTAAGTATTTCATCTTCTTTGAAGCCACTGTGAAGGGAATTGTGCCCTTGATTTGCTGCTTCTTTACTTATTTATTTATTTATTTATTGTTTGAGACAGAGTCTCACTATATCACCCTGGGTAGAGTGCTGTAGTGTCATAGCTCACAGCAACCTCAAACTCCTGGGCTTAAGCAATTCTCTTGCCTCAGCCTCCCAAGTAGCTGAGACTACAGGTGCCCATCACAACACCCAGCTACCTTGAGTTGCTTCTTATAATTGAGGGTACAAAGAATTAAGTTACAATGCATGTCGACTTTCTTTAAGAGCAAAAAATCAGATACTGGGTAGCTGCATGTACATTTTTGCCTATGTGTGTACACATGTGTGTATGTGTTTATGTATGTGTGTAGACATATATGTATATGATCAATGAATGAGAACTTCTATGAAACCCCCCTCAAGGACCTGTGGCTGTAGGAATCTTTAGACTCTGTGCTAGCACCAGCCTTATTTCCTACAATCATATCCTTCTCCACCTACCCATGCCACGCTGAGATGAGAGGGTTTATATGAATCATAGGAGTAAAAAAACTGGCTCATCTCTATGTCAACAACAAACAACATGAGTTTGAGAAGCTATCTGCTCTGCTCCCATGTAAGCACAGCATAAAATAACATATGCTGGTTTGAAGTGTTTCATTAACTCGGGTGGGAAGGGTGGTTGGTTTGACATAACCACTCTGCCAAAAGGTATCTTTGCTGTCAGCTAAACATGGCCAGGGGTCAATATTTAAGAAATATTAAGGAAACATTTAATACCTTCAGAAATATCACAGCAAGAGCACATACTCCTAACTCCCTTACCTGAACATGCAACAAACTTCAATGATTTAAGTGTCTTAGTTTGGTAAACTCCTGTCATATGTGAAAGAATCAGACATAGAACACAGTGCCCAGCTCAGTGACAGTGCACAGTAGGTGCTGATTAGTGCCCCGATTCTCTCAGCTGTCCACACGTTAGTAACACTCCCTTAACTTATCTTCTAGCAGAGGAGGCTCTTCATCAAAACTGTCCATGGGAGAAGATTGTGAATAATAATCCGGGCTGGGAGCTGGCTGAAAAAACTGTCCTGCATAAGCTGGTGACATGAGCATCTCTGAGGGGACACCAGAGGCAGGCTGAGGCGGCTCATCCACTTGTCCTCTAGGAAAAGAAAGAGACTCTCATTTGCACACACAGCTAAGAAAAAATACCATGACACATCAAGAAGAAAACTGTCATTTTCCTTTTATGACTTCGCCTCATTATATGAATATTTACCAGGAAAGAAATAACTTGCTCCAAGTGTAACTGGTCATAGGAAGACTTCTAGAAAAGTGATCCCCACCAACCAATATTAATTGAGATTATACACCATGCTGGGTACGTCCCCTCTTCTTTTCTCTGTTAACACTGCATAAGGTAAAATGTATTATTAATCCCACACTGTGGAAAAGAAATAGAGGTTCCCAGAGACCTAATGAGTTGTGCAGTGTCCCACAGTAACGCTGCAGGTGCTGGGCCCTGGGCTGAGGTTTTCTGGGCAGGGCTCTGCTTCCCACAAGTACTGCTTTTAAACTGATCTTCAGGGACAGTCACCAACCATGACAACCCTATGTCTCTGTGGAAGCAGCAAATAAAAATCATAATTTTAGTAGTATAGCCAACTCATAGGAAAAAATAAATGCATAAAGTAACAGCTGCATATAAAGAAATAAGACATTTTGAGGTTCTGGTCATTCCCAGACAATTATTATCAATTGAATTATCTTTTGTGTCTAGATAAATATGTTCTATAGCGGGTTTTAATGTCCCTCTTTTCAAATGTGCGATTTGGTTTTGCCAAAATATGATGTTTCCACGTCTCCTTGACAGTGTTTTTGTTTTTTATTTTACTGTTTATATGAGGAAGTTTGGAAAACAATAATTCGTGTAAATAACTTCTTGCTGGATCTACAGAAAGGAAGGAAAAAGGAAGAGGAGGTGAGGTTATTGCTCCTTTTAAATTCTTTTTACCTAAAAGGAAGAGAAGAAACACCAAGATTTGTCCATTATCATGGTGAAATTTCTTTTGTTAAAGCCCTTTGGGCTAAGCTAAATATACAGTTCAAGATTCTGAACTTGGTAACTCTGTATAATCTCTTTATGGTAAAATATTTATAAAATGGCTTTACTACTTCTGACATCAATCTTAATATGAAATTTAAGAATAACAAATGCAACCTCCGTTAGGTGAGGAACCCTGGCCAACAGCCTGTTTTGGAACAGAAAGGAGAAAGAGAGAAAGGTGAAATCACATCCTAACTCAACTGTAAGCTAATTAAGAAGAGATGATAACATAGGCTGATAACCTACTGCTATTGTCCATTTAGCCACCTGTTGGATTCCCAAATTTTTTTTTCAGCAAAGCAGACACACTATCAAAAGTATTGACAGAAAAAAAATGATAAATAAGAATCTGAATGGCTTGTTGGTTGATAAAGTCCCCTTCATATGCTTGTCTTAAAATGCAAGCCCTTCTCAAAGAATAAAAGGGGAAAATAAAGATGATTAAATGGACCAGTGTGTAAATAAGACTACGTCATGGACATCATGGCCTGGCCCCACCTAACTCATGTCCAGTGGCATTAACTAGACTTGAGGAAGCGTCACCTTCACAGGTATTACCTACAAGGCAACCTGTGTGAAGGAGGGGACTGGGTATGGGCTGTAACTTTGATTCAATGCTCTCTAAAGAGGAAAAAAAAACATTTTTACATAAAATGTATATATATATATATATACATACAGGGTGACCTTAAGGTTCATGTGTAATTTAAAATTGCAGTCTCTCTACATACATACACACACACACACACACACACACACACACACATATCTCAGTGGCCAAATCCTGTCCCTTCTTTCCTCCATCTCTGCTCCTTCGTTGGGACCTAAATTCCTCTGAGAGACCACCAATGCACACATGTAAAAACAAAGAAAGTGCTTTTTATTTAAATGCAAGCATATGCCTGGGTCACTCCACCCTACAGTGTAGGAGGGGAGACCCTAAAGAGAAGCTAGCAGAGGTTTTTAAAGCGTATAGAGGAATTTCACTGGGTGTTTTGTCGGGCGGGGCTGCTATTGCTGAGCTGTTTATGGTTAGGGACTTTCTGGGGGGGGGGGTGCTGCTTGTCTCTTTCTGATAGACTGACTCCCTCTGAGCTGATTGACCTTGCCCAGTGCGGGGAGGGGAAGCAGGTCCCCTTCAGACTGGCTGCCCAGAAGTGCAGGGGAGGGAGCTAGTCTCTTTCTGATAGACTGATTCCACTTGGGCAATCTTGCCCAGGACGGGAGTCGGGAGTTAGTTCCAAGATGGAGTTACATTAACTTCTTCATTCCCAAATGGAGTTACATTAACCTCTTACCTTCATGTGGCAAAACTCCATCAGAAGCTTGGTTTCTGTGGTCCTTCTGACAGTGAGAGCATGATATTGAGCTTCTGATATCACTTATCTATGTAAGTAAAATTTTTATATTTTTCCTATAAACACAAAATTAGTCCTTTAATTATTAAAATTGCTGTGCTTGCCTTTGATACCTGTCTAAATTAAATTCTCTTACTTTATCACTTTGACTTTGTACACTTGGACTATAATATTTACCATGACATCTTAATGAACAAAATCAATGCAAACACGAAAATAATCATATTACTAGTCCAGAATCTCACCCACAAGACTCGGCAAATAACCTGATCCAATTCTTATGTTTAAGATCTTTGCCCGGAAATTTCTATGGACAACATAATTTTAGGCATATATCAAAGTCAAGACACTTAGTCACACGTCTTCCAGTATGACCCTGTTTTACTGGATGGCACCAACTTTGAATGGCTATGCCAAAGGATTCTCCTACATTCCTAGTGACATCGTTCAAGCCTACAATCCTTTCATGAAAGAAAAAAAATTGTAGGACACTGGGACTGGAAATTTTACTATTTGCTCTTGTTAAATAGGACTTGATGATTAATCTATTAGAGGCAGTTTAATGAGTCAGATTAATATTTAAGATGTGAAAGTTGGGGCCCCACATCATGATGGGCGTCTTGCAGAGGACGCCCGCAGGACATGTCTCCTCTCCTGGATCCCACAGTACCTCTCTTAGCTTTATGAAAAGCTAATGCTGATATTGTGATCATTGGTAATTCAGTATGTTATCCCAATTGAAATAAATGTCAATTGAATTAGACCAAAGGAACCAATGGACTCTGGCTGGTCGGATTTAAATATTAACTTTGTTACTAAATGTCTTCTCTTCTTAAAAAAATCCCTTCAAGCATCTGTAAAGTGACTGAACCGCTCTGTTAAAACAACCAGTAACATTCTGGGTCTGATTTCCCTTCTCCAGTGAGGCGGAGCTATGCTGCTTCTTGTAACAATAATCCAATGGGATGATGTATCCTTCAAAACAAGTAGAGTGATTAGCAACTACAACCTTTTGTATCAAGTGTCCAGGGTTCAAATCATTGTTCTATAATATTAAACAAATTACTACACATTCTCTGCCTTGGTTTTCTCCTCTGGAAAATGGGGATATTTATTAAACTCATAGGTTGGCTGTGAATTAAATTAGGTAAAATAAGTGAAGCCCTGGGGGTTATGCAGAGCATAGGAGAAGTGGTCAAGTAATCAATTTCCTACATATTTGCAAGCTCCTTTCTCCCTGAGACCTACAGTGATGAACACAGGAGTGTAACTCTCTGTATTTGTAATAGTTGTCTCCCAGTCTGTCAGTTCCTTAATCAGCATTAACATTAGTAGGTGGTGAAAATTCGTGTCCCTTCTGTGCTGATTATCTTCAACTTTTATTTCCATTTTGGTTTCCCTGGAACACCCAACGTACCTTCTCCATCCCATTTGTCCTTTGCTTCCTTAACAGAAGAACATTCCCTACCCCATCCTCAGCTTTCTTTCCCAGCTAGAATGCTGTGGCCGTGCACCTGGTCTCCCTAAAGACCCTCTGTATTCACACCAACTCAATTCTTCAACATCCCCTCAGATTTGTCCCTAACTTGCAGAGACTGGTCTTTACTTACTTGATATTGTGTTAACAATAAAGTGTGGTCTCAAGCTGAGTAAAATTTTCAACCTGTTTCTGATTGAGCAGGATCTAACCTTTGACTTTCAATGCAAATATAATGGGCCTTTTTTTTTTTTTTTTAGTGTTTTCACATACATTTTGAAACACTTTCATCAAGCTGGTTCACATAGATTTCATGTAATTTGCATAGTCATTGTGTCAAAACGTTTACATTCTATTTCTAGAAAAGTTCACTTGTACCCTTGTTAGACAGAAATATAGATGATCTTTCCGGTTAATAATGGGCCTTTTTTAAAGAAGAGTGAGTTATAATAATTTCTGTGGTTCAAGACACTTTTTTTCATCTGTTCTACAGGCTATTTTCTGTGTTACATTACTTAACCACTACCTACCCATTTTATTCAAGGTTTTGTTTTTTTAAAAAACTGTAAGTTTGAACTCCATTATAATGATCATTCAACTGGGGGGATGTAACTGGTGAGTTTGCCCTGTGTGATATGAAGGAATACACTGTAATTCAGATGGTGAGGTATGTACCACCAAATAAGTAAAAGTCTTAAAATTCTGTCTCCACCTTTGATCTCCTATTCAAGTTTATGTATATTTCTTCCAACCAGGAGCCATTACAACCTTTTAGGAACCTGAAACCACAGAGGTTTCCAGAATAGGGAACACCACCACATTAAAGAGGGTGAGACAATAGTATGACAGGTCAACAGAAAGAGTAGCCTGTTGGTTGAAAACACATTTAGTCTGGACTCCAAGAAACATCTTTTCTATGTAAGATTCCAAAAGCAGGATTGTCAGTGCCCTTTGCAAAACCACATTTAGAATCAGTTTAGGACAGTGTGGGGTAGGGAACGGTAGAATTAGTTTAGGACAGTGGGGGTTAGGGAACGGTAGCTTGGGGAGTCGGCTTATACACCATTCCCAGATTCTGGTTGGTCCAGCTAGGTCCGAAGTGATGCCATTAGCTGTGTTTGAAATATTAGAAAATCATGCCTGAAGATTCAGAGAAGATGATGATTCACCACTGATCTATTAAAATTCTACCAAACATCCAAAGAGATTTTATTTTCTTTGTAGAGAGAGAGTCTCACTTTGCCGCCCTTAGTAGAGTGCAGTGGCATCACAGCTCATAGTAACCTCAAACTCTTGAACTTAAGCGATTCTCTTGCCTCAGCCTCCTGAGTAGCTGGGACTACAGGCACCTGTTATAACACCTGGCTATTTTTTTGTTGCAGTTTGGCCAGGGCTGGGTTCAAACCCGCCACCTTCATTATATGGGGCTGGGTAGCCCTCATCTCTACGCAGCAATACCTGTTTTTTTCTTCAAATAATATAAATAGATTTCACATTTAAAAAATTGGAGAAGTATAATGGGAAAATATTGTCTAGGTAATGTAACCTAGTTAGCTAGTTGTAGTGGTTGGATATGATCCCTATCTGACTTACTGAATAGTCAAGGGCTTTTTCTTTTTCTTTTTTAAAAGAGAAAGTATCTGCTTGTTCATTCTAAAATAAGAAATTTTTTAAATATAAATATCTTCATTATCTTAATAAGCACAATCAGCTTTCAGATCGGTATGCCACTGGGTGAAACAGGCTTTTTAAAAATTAGCCTCATGAACTGGGAGCCTGGGTGAGGGGAGGGAGAGAGGCAGAGACAGACACACAGACACTGAAGGATTCAAGGTAACTACCCTCTGGATTCCTCCATCATTTGCCAGGATGATCAGCATCTTATTCTTCTTTGGGGCATATTTTAATTGAACTATTTATGGTATGAATAAAAGATCAAATCTCTGGAGGTCCACTGATGTACACGAGTAAATCAGTGACCTGACCCACGTTTTATGTACATCATAAAACCACCACAGCTAATACGCCCTTTCCTCATTCCAGAGACTCAGAGCGTGGATCAGAATTTGAATGTTACTGCATCAGAGTCAGGACCTGGGTTTAAATACTCAGCATATAATGCAGGCGAGGCCATCAACCTTGCAGAATATAATTACGAGCTTTTCTCGTTTCATTACTTCCAGATCAGGAAAAAATTTCATCCCTTTGTCAGCTCGATCCCTAAGAAAATGTTGATACGTGTGATGGAGTGGAGAAAGCGGAAGTCACAGGTGGGGGGTGGGGGGGACTGTGGCGCATGCGCCCTTGCTGAAGGTGGAGGTTCTTTCTCTGCGTGGGGACCTTCCAGAACGCGGAAGCTGCCCAGTTGCTTGTCCCATCCGGATTAGAGACTGAGAAAATCAACAGTGACAGGGAGTGTCGGTTCCTTTCTACAAAATCAGAGGCCAGGGCTGGACCAACCTATTAAATAGTTCTCCTTGTGGATTCTCTGTTTATGATGACCTTTGTGGAATGACCCCAATGCTGAAACTATTCTCTGGGCCTCAAATGCCTTTCTTTTTTCTCCTGATCTTCCGAAGTATAAATCATGAAAGGCAGCCATACTAGTGTTAGGAGCGAATAGAGATGTGACTGAGATAAAACCCCAAATATTTAACTTCTCCTATTTTAAAAACATCACATCCCAACACTGCTCCCTATTCTACAGAGCAGTGGTTCAGCAGGAGGGGCAGGAAGACGCTTGGAAAAGCAGCATCTGTTGGCTTCTGTCTGCAGCCGCGATCAGCGAGTGAAAAGAGCGTCCACTGTGCTTCTGGGCAGGATAGGGAAGGAATCCTCCCCACTGCCTGTGATATCTAAGTCTTTCTTCTTTCCATCCGGAACTATTAAGGTATTCTGGGGTGCACTTAAAAAAATCTTCAAGAATTAACACATTTGAAACTCATTGCCACACGTCCTAAGAGGGTCCAATTTATTCCTATTGTCCCAATGTAATAATAGCACCCATTTTATATTTTAAAATGTTGTGATTCTACAACAAATCATATGCTTACCATAGTTATGGGTCTAGTCAATCAACCCTGGGCTAAAATCCCAACCTTATTTTATTTATTTATTTATTTATTTGCAGTTTTTGGCCGGGGCTGGGTTTGAACCCACCACCTCCGGCATATGGGGCCGGCGTCCTACTCCTTTGAGCCACAGGCTCCATATGCTGGAGGTGGCAGGTTCAAACCCACCCCGTGAACCCTATTTCTTACTAGATGTGTGATCCTTAGAAAGTTCCTCGGTTTCTCTGTGTGTCTGGATTCTTACATATAAAATGGAAATAAGAGTAAAGGTTGAGGATCCCTTGTCTGAAATGCTTGGGACCAGAAACGCTTTGGATTTAGGAGGTTTCTGTATTGTGTAATATTTTTGCAGAATACATACCCGTTGAGCATCTCAAGGTGAAAATCAGAGATCTGGAATGTTCTTTTGAGCGTCATGTCAGTGCTCAAAATGCATCATATTGTGGAGCATTTTGGATTTCAGATTTTTGGATTTGTGATGCTCAGCCTGCAGTAACTAACTCATGTGGGTGTGTGATGATTCAGTGAGTTAATTTATATAAACCTCAGAACAGTTCTAACATAGTAACAGTGAATGTTTGTTATTACGAAAGTTGAAACGGTCTGACCTTTCTGGTCTGCCCACCTAGATCACACAACAATGTCCCCCAAAGCAACTATGTAACCAAATCCACTGCCTCTAAGTAACTTTAGGCAACAAAGGGTCAATCTCTTTTACAAGCCATATTCATATAAATTAATAGTATTTATATAGTGGCCTTACTTCAAAATACACTTTCCTATACATTATTGTAATTGTTCTCCATTGAAATGAATGAATATCCTTATTTTTCAGATTGAGACAGAGAAGTCTTTCCAGTTTCACAAGGACAACCTGACTCTAAATGCCATATTTTGCTACCCTTGAAGGGCAAATACTAAATTTAAATCATTTTATTTTCAACCTAAGTAGAATTTTCGTCTCAAATAACAAATATACTTTGAAATACATTCCCCTTGATTCCATCACAACACATTATTCCTACTGTGTTATCATCACATATTTATTTGCCCAATTTCTCGGCATAAAATCTTACATTTTGTGAAGGAAAGGACTATGGATTTCACCCTTATGTTTGGGTTTGTAGTACCCGTCTTAATTTCTGTCATACAAGCAGGCACTCAACAACATTTTACTAAATTAATAAAATATTTTCTGTAAGCAGTGCCCTGTAAAATCTCAGGAGAAAGGAAAACGCTTTCTTATTTGCCCAGACCACCTGCTCAGTGATATTTCGAAAAGTGGAGAGATCGCAAGCCTGAGGGATAAAGGGCTTGATGGAAACTGGATTGACATCTCTGCATGTTTTCCTGACAATTTTTTCTTGGGGACTCCACTGAGATATGCTGGGGAAAACTTTGACTTCTTCAGAGGAAGCCCCCCTTCATCTAACCCCTTGCCATGATATTAAGACTTCTTGAAGGACTTACGTTCTAGATCCATAGAGATTTCCATAGGCATTAGAATCATTAAAATTCTGCTCTTGATTATCAATGGTATAATTAGATTGATAAAAATCAGAATCAAATTGTCCCAAGTTTGACATCCTGAAAAATAAAAAAAGAATAATTTTTTATGCAGTATAATTTTTGTGATGTTTATAATTTTTATACAATTTTTTTGAGATGTTTATAAATTTTTTGAGACATTTACAAAGATTAGTTGATGATGGGGTTAGGACTAGATTCCTAGCAGAGAAGGTATTCCTTGAAGGGGTACATTAAGTATTGGAGGGAAAATGTAGACATCTATGTTAGAAAATCATTTACAAAATGTGTTATCATCAACTACTTCTGAAGTTTTCACACCTTGAACTGTGACTTTGACTAAATTGACTCTAATTGATCTGGAAGAACTAACATTCTCCTCCAAATATCTTTTTCTTAGCAGTTTAAGAGAAAAAAATTAAAACCTGGCACACAACTAGAAGATTTTCCCTTAAACAATGAAGCAATGTCAGTTTTTCCTTTTAAATGTGTGTGTGTGTGTGTGTATACGTGTGTGTATCTATGAGATATACCTGCTTTTATTTTTATTATTTTATTTTTTGCAGTTTTTGGCCGGGGCCAGGTTTGAACCCACCACCTCCCGTATATGGGGCCGGCACCCTACTCCTTTGATCCACAGGCGCTGCCCAGATACACCTGCTCTTATAGCAAGACCATAAAGCCCATGACTGGTAATAAGTTACACTATTTAAGTTTGATTTTCCTGTAGCTTTAATGTTTGCTAACACCTTCACTGGTCTCCAAGACAAAAACCAACCCTGAACCCTATTTCCTGGGTCTACCTGGCAATTCTAAAATGTGTTTGGAGCATTTCCTCTTTCTTCCTCTCTGGATACTATCCCCATTTCTGTCTGAGTCACAGAGGAAGGCCCAGCACTGCTAAGGCAGCAGGCGGTTTTCTATATGCCTTTTACATAGTTTCTGCTCACTGCTGGGAATTAAAAGGAATTCATGACCTTGAATTAGACCTAGTGGCCAGGAATACCAGAAGAAAAAATAGGTTTGGAGAGGAGACAGAGATGGGGGCAGAATAAGATATTAGAGAGGTAATGGTGGCTCTCTCGATAAAAATTAGAGAGTGGAAAAGAGACTTTTCAATTGAGTAGTTACAGTGTTTCCACTTAACATTTTAATCTTATCTTTCTTTTAAAAAAGTTTTCATTTTTAACGTGTAAATTGACAAATCCTGAGTAACCCATATGGAATGTTATAATCACCTATGGAATGTTATGTATAGTAAATTTCAAATGAAATTACAAAAACAACCTTAACTGTATGGGCCTCATTAATCAGAAATATTCAAGTAACACATGTCAAATATATCAAATTTGTTCAGTTCTATAAAAATACAAAAAGCTCTTCTAAAATTAGATGTAGCAAACCATATGTCTGATTTAATAAATCCAGATTTTTTTCATTAGTAATGTGTATGGAAGTAGCTGTGAATTATGTAAACTAAAATCAGGACTTAGTAATAAGTTTTTAAATAAGTTATAACTTAAAGACCGTACAATTTAATAGCATAACTTTTTCAATACATGAAAAGCTGTTATCATAAAGCTTAGGGAGTAATTTCCCAAGAATACACTAAGTTTTCACAACATACAAAGCCTTATGTAACATGACTATTGGTATTAGAGTTCTTACATAATCTAACTTTGTATTTTGTTTATATGCCCAATCTTTTAGAAGGATTAGACACATACCTCAATGTGTTTTACGTGGACAGATCCTCCAACAGACGTAGCTTTACATGACACTCTTAAAGCAAATCTGTTTGTGGGAAGATGACGTGCTAGCTATATATAGAGGTTTCTAAATTTGTACTCTGACAATCTGAACAGATGCTACAACCAAAAAAAAAAAAAAAAGAGCCTACCAAAAGTCAAATCCAGTGTCTTCTAACACTTGTTATAATTTACAAACACAGTTAACAGAGGATAGACATAAACTTGTGGATGTAAGTGTAATTGAAATGGGATGTCATTGAAGGGTTTTAAGCAGTGAGATGACAGGATCAGTCTTCTGCACAAGTGCAGAGGGAGCCGGGGCGGAAGAAGCTGTTCATTTACTCAGGCCTGAGCCGCAGCTGGTGTGGACAGGGGGACAGGTTCAAAATCGCTGCAGCTGTGGGAAGGTTGAATTGAAGGGGTCAAGCCTGGACCAAGAGTACCAGTAAAAAGAGATTTCAGGCCAGGAAGATGATGACAAGTTTACTGAATGGAGGAAGGTCCAGGGGAGACAGAGAGGACTGAGCAGTTAGAGAAAATATGTGGAAAGAAGATTTAATAGGAGGAAGATGGGAGGAAGAAGGAAAAGACAATTACTGAGGATGACTGATGGAATTCGGGTCTTTCTGTGCTAATATATAACACTGTAGAATAAGGCTGGATTGTTGTATGGTGGCCCAATTCAGATCGCCATCTTTCTATTCCTTCTTTCACAGTTCTTGTGTGAGAACATGGGTCCTTCCTAAAACAGCGGGGATTCAGGGGACATTCTTTTTGATGAGACAGAGTCTCACTGTCACCCTGGGTAGAGTGCTGTGGTATCATCGTAGCTCATTTGCAAACTCACACTCTTTGGTTTGAGTGATTCTCTTGCCTCAGCCCCCCTCCGAGTAGCTAGGACTACAGGTGCCTGCCACAATGCACGGCTATTTTTAGAGACAGGGTCTCACTCTTGCTCAGGATGGTCTTGAACTCCTGAGCTCAGGCAATCCTCCCACCTCGGCCTCCCAGAGTGCTGGGATTACAGACGGGAGCTGCCATTCCAGCCCCTTCTTCTTTTCTGACATATAAATTCACAGAAAAGCTTACCAAAGATAATGATTTTAATCGTAGCACACTTAGATAAATTTTAAGATTATTTTTTCATTTTGTACTTTTTAACATAGTTTTCTTATAAAAAGCTATCTTGATTAAATGAATCACAGTAATACATGGACAAAAAATGGCATATAAAAATGAAATCAATCTGAGCCTCTAGTTAACAATAAGCTATGAAACACTGACAATCACATGACTTTAATTTCCTGAGCATGCATTAATGGAGCAGTAATGACATGCCGGGATATTGTAAAGCTGCTTCTATAAATGTGACACTATATGTGTATAAAATATGCATTTAAGTGTCTTTCCATTAATGAATCAGCTGATTATTATAGTGTATATTGAAGAATAGAATTTAGATCAATATTATGTCTGGTCACAGGGTCATCACTTGAGTGCTTTAGCTCGTTTACTTAAATAGTCATTTCTGGGTTCTGAATGACCCATAATGTAAATGAAGATTCTCACTGGATATAAAGCCCCACATTCTGCTCACACCCACTTTCCTTCCCTATCACTTCCCTTTCTCTCTCCACCCCCTGCCATCACCCTCTCCTCCCTTCACTCGGTTCTCCTTCTGACTCTCTCCTCAGCTGATCTCGCCTGTTTCCTTGGCTTTATATATTATCTACATAGAAACAATTCCCAGAGTTAGAGATGCAGCTCTAGCCTTTCTTCCCAGCTCCAGACTATTTGATAGACATTGAATACTTGATATAATCTAAATTGGATTTTTTTTTAAGCTCTACCCTCTTCAACCTAACACTTTTTCTCCCTTTCAAGAAATGACATCCCAAAGCTCACACTCACTCAAATAAGAAATCATCTAATCTGTCAACAGATTCTACTGACTTTTTCTCAAAAATGTATCTGCCACTAACCAATCCCCTCCATCTCCACTGCTGTCCGCCTGGTAGACGCCACCGTGTTCACCCCACGAGCCTCTGTTAGCCTCTGTTTGTTATTATTCAACAAAGTGAAATATTATTTTTAAAGTAGCAGATTGGTAGGAGATAGTAAAGCTTATGTCAAAAGACTGTAAGAATTATACTTTTCATGAATTGCCAAAATCAAGAAAGATGTTTCTGTGGTTGCTAACTACAATTGGCGGTGGAACTCAAGGAGAATTTCCATCCACCTCTGGAATTCCTGACTCTCTCTCAGATTATCAGTCAAGTACTGTGGAGATTAACTTGCTCCCAGCGTATCACAACAATTTGCCCTCTGCCTGACAATCTGTTCAGTCACACAGGCATGAGACTCAGCTTCTGTTTGCACACATATTTATATTGAGTGAAAGGGTGAATTATTCGATGAGTGATCACTACAATTAATTCTGCATACTCAGAACCCAATATTTTAGTTGATATCAATATAAGCATCATATAAAATCATGACACCTATCACTGCCATCCTCTGATATAAAAATGGAAACTCAAGAGAGGCTAAGTAATTTGCACAAAGTCACACACCCAGTCTGTGAAAGAAGCTAGTTTGGGACATCATTTTGTCACTCAGCCCAGTTACCTTTCATTGCTATTTCTTCAAAAAAATAAATCTATGGCTACCCAAAATTCTGGTGTTACGACTGTCATTATTTGGAAACAATAAATGATGTTTATTTATAACCCCTCAAAAATATCTTTCAGCTGAACAGAGCTGCCAATAAACCAAACAAAAAAAGAGTCATAATTCTTCTGCCTCTGCTGACAGATAAACTGGTACTTGTCACCAGTGTTTACCATGCAATTATTTTGTTTGGCCGCCTCTATTACAATTTAATGTACATTGACTGAATTTTACTCATAAATTACTATTCTTATTAATGCAGAGAAGAATACAGTGCATTTCTTTATCCATTATTTTTTAATGCATTTTGGTCAGAATTCCCTACATGTGCTGTTTTTTGGTACCGCAAGAGATTTGTTCCTGATCATCTTCCCTTTAAAGACTGTGCTGCTTCTATTATATTTTATAAGCCTGAAACTGCAGCCAGGAATATTACATAGTCACATGAAAATAGGCATAAAGTTCTGTTTCATTGCATGAATTTTAAAGGGCTCAATATATTCGATGGCAAGAAACCTAGAGTTTCGCTTCATTAATACTATCATAATTATGTTCAACTTTTAATCTGGCGATTTCTTGTTTGCTTTCACTTTTGTCTTAGCAGAAAAAAATGGGAATCTATCAGAATGATTACTGAA